CAGGTCCTATTTCTTCATCATCATCATTCATTAACTCCGTGCATTTGTGTTTTTCAATAAAGAAATTCTGAGAGTGTTTTGATTTACAAATACAGCCTTCTTTCTTTATTCTAAAATGCTATAAATGGAAGGCATAATGTTACTACGTGTTACCTCTTCGAAATCCAAATTTAGGAGCTCACCAAATTAATAATTCAATATAATCCACGTTCAATAAGGAATTATGATGTTGATTTTATACGCTAAACTGAAAAAAATAAATAAATATGTTATTAAATGGCTGATATTATTTTCATTTAAAAAGTATATGTTACATTAATTTAATATATGTTCATAATATAAAAATAATATTACTGGAAAAACATATTTATTTATAATTATTTTGTTTACCACCAATGTCACTAAATTCTAATTCATGATTTCAATTTCAATTTTAAAATCATTACTTGGGTTTTTAATTTTAAATGCTAGAATATCATATATATTCGGTTAAAAAAGATTTTGGGTAAAAAAAGTTCTACCATATGGTAAATTTCAAGAAATTCCTTTTATATGTTTACAATAGGCGTAACTCGTATTTATGTGAAAAATAGCAAGTGGTGGGTCATTGTCACTAAGTTAGGGGGCAATTTACAAATGCCTACTTATCTTGTGGCTTACAGTATAGTCTACAACCGAAATATGTGGGTGCAGTAAATTTATTTTAAAGACAACTTATGCATGTGGTTCTTCGCCTACCAAAATGTAATGTTTAATTATAACCCAACCAGGGTTTATTAAACATGTAATATAATTTAAGAGTAAAATAGAGTCTACACACCCAAGGTCCAAGTAGTTTGGCATACACAAAGCAAGGACTAGGGTCTAGGAGACTATAAGGCATTAGTACAAACTCCAATTTCCAGAGTCAGTTCATTTTCAGCCCAGACATATACATGGAGGTTATTTTATATTGGGATAAAAACAAGTCTCACACTTTTTTTTTTTTTTATCATTGGTATAGTTGCATACTTGCATAGCTTAATTAAAAAAATTAGAATCGTTAAATTTAAGAATGTAACTTTTATATATATATATATACATATATTTTTCTTATATTGTATGAAAAGTGTTATCATATGTTGTGACCATTCAATTTGTGTGTAAATTTTTTTTTTCTTGTTTTAATAAGTGTGGAACACATTACTAATTAAGTCACAAAATGATAATTGTATTTTATGCAACATGAAAAAATCAAAGTCTTTCTCTCTCTCTATATATATATATATATATTATACTTATTACTGAAAAGTTTTATAACTCTTACTAGTAAATTAATTATTGTTGATTTTTGTCAATTTAACAGGTATAATTTATTAAAATTTAAAAATTAATTAATAAGTGTGACACAATAAATTATAATTGTTAGATTGGTGGAGAACAATAACAATTAATTTAATAGTAAGAGTTGTAAATTTTTTTAATAATAAGTATAACCGGCCCATATATATAAAATTAATATTTTTCTTCATGTTATTGGAGATAAAATTATCTCTTACATATGCATAAAAATATATGGGCCAATGGAAAGAGAAGAGAAAAAAAATGAGCTCCACACATAAAGGAAATAAAATTTATTTCGTATAATATGAGTGATATTATTTCACACACACATATATATTGTGTTTATCTCATTTTATATGAGATAAATAATTTTTCTACACACACAAAAGAGGGGCGAGTCTCACCACTCTTTTTTTCTCTCTTCTCTTATCTATGGATCCCACTTATAATTTTATTTTCATAAGATAATTACTCTCTTACAACATAAAAAAAATATTTCTCATATATATATATATATATAGGGTAAAGAATTTCTTCGGTCACCGGAGATAAAGTTATCTCTAGTGACTAGCTCAAAATAACGTCGTTTGAGGCGTAAATCAAGATATTTTTGTAATTATAATATATTGCAGGGTTATATTAGTCTTTGTCATTATAATTTTTTAATCTTATAATCTAAAACGACGTGATTTTGAGCTCACTGGAGATAACTTTATCTCCGGTAACCATATATATATATATATATATATATATATATATATATATATATGAATCCATGCAAAATATCTTATAATCCAAGAAAACTCCAGCAGTCATTTTTCTTCCTTTATGATCAGTGATTTTCTGAGCCGCATGAAAAATCGGCTTTTGGAGAGACACTGTTCGTCCCATCATTTTCTCTGCGATTCCTTGCTTGCCTTTTTCGAGCCTCGGTTAACTTTCGTCCTAACGCTGCCTCTGCCGCATCATAGCTTTTGACACATACTCATTTTTTAAAAAATATATATAAAAATTCTATTTTATTATATCTCATATTATATAAAAAATAAATTTATCTCTTATAATATAATTTTTTTTAACAATAATAATATGAAAAATATTAATTTCATAAAGATACGCAGTTTATCTTTAAATGTGTTATTGATATAATTTGTTTTATAATTTATAAATCTATGATGCATATATTATTTTCCATCGTAAAAACTTATAAAATTATTGATGATGAAAATTTGATTTAAATAAAATTTAAATCTTATATTTTTATTCATTTGAATTTTAATCTACATGATATATTTTTAAAATATCAGTACGTATAATTTTACTCATTTAAATTTAGTTTTATGGTTAAAGTATTTATTTTTTTTGTAAAGAACCTTGGGATTAGAGGTGTTAACGAGCCGAGCCGAGCCGAACTTTGGTTTTAACGGACTGAGCCTGTGTTCAAATATGTCAGACTCGCCTTAATCTGTTACCTGTTACAAATAAAATATAAGCCTGTGGCCTGACTCATTTACAAAAAATAAAAGTCTTGTTTAGCCTGTTTAAAAAAAATAAGACAACAAAAATTTATCCAAACAAAATATACAATCAATAGCACCAGTAATTTCATAAATATTCATAAATTTAATGTATATCCAAACAGTATAATATAAAACAAAATTATTTAAAAAATCTGTTTAATTAATAAAATGGGATGAAATGAATTGAGAAGAGAGAGAGGGCTATCACAAGTAGTATAAAAACTAAAAAAAAAAATATTAGGCAAGCCTGAGAGGCTCTAAGGCTGAGCTTTTGAATTGAAGTCTTAGGCCTTTTTATTAAACGAACTTTTATACAAGTCCAAGCCTGAGTCCAACAATCAATTTTAGACATGTAAGCTCAGGCCTTCACGAGCCGAGGCAAAGGCCCCTGACTCGTTTAGCACCTCTACTTGGGATACACCACCCCAAAAACTAGCTCCAAGGATGAGAGTGCCCAAAACCTTATAAAGGCCACATTAGTTGCCCACACAATCCATGTGAGACTATATATCTCAACATCCCCCTCACGCAAGAGCCCTTTGGGCGAGAAGCGTAGAATTGCACAGGCCCAATTTTTAGTTTACCTTTTTGTGTTTTTTATTTTAATTTCACTTGAAAGTGGAGGGTCGTAAGAATCGAATCTGTGACCTTATAGTCAACTCAAGCTCTGATACCTTATAGTCTCACATGGATTGTGTGGGCAACTAATGTGGGACTATATATCTCAACATTTTTCATTAAATTTAGTTTTGAATTATTTGAGTTTTTAATTTTATAATTAAATCCATTAATGTACATCTTTAATTTTTTTTCATTTAAAAAACAATTGTGCATGTACAAAAAAAAATAATTGTGCCAATAAAACAGAACATCACAAGACATTCATGAGAAGATTTTTCAAAGTATTATTGTAATAGACCAAAATTTATATTATTTTTAACAGTAGTATATTTGCAATTTCATTTTGATAATTTATAATATTTTTATTAATTGATTTGGAAATAATTATAATTATTTTATTTTTTTATTTTCAAGAGTTTTTTCTTATTCGGAAGAAGTTTATGTTTTTTTATTTTGGTTCCAAAAATCAATATTTGATTAAAATTTTATATGTAATTATAATTTAATTAGTAGGATTTTATTTTTCATTTGAATTTCATTACTACCGGATTGTCCTAATCAGTGCATTACTATACAAAGCATAAGTTTATTTGTTACCGTTGAGACTCAGTAAAGCGTTAGCTTGGTGGGATGGATTTGCGTATAAGTTGGGTAATTTGCTGTTGGCAATTATTATGCTAACCAATTATGGTGTAGCAATTCGTGAGGTACAGTTAATTTTTCGTATATGAACGTGGCTTAGAAATGAGTGACAGGTTTATATCTATCACAATTTCAGAAAACATAACTCGTATACATATTAATTAACTAACTTTATTTTAGATTCTGCTGAGCTAGGTGATTAGTATTTTTTTAGTCATCCTCCACCTGATATGCAACATTTATATCTTAGTGCTCAGGCTTCGACAGGAAGAGAGCGTGTTGTGATACTCTCCCAGGTAATTTCATCTTTTGTTTTGTTTTGTTTTGTTTTGGGACTCTTAACCCTTTTATTTATAAAAAAAGCGTTAGCTTTGTATCCATGCTTATATTGTTAAGCCAAAATAACACAAATTACAGCTTTACCAATTTTATAATACCATAACACTTTATATAAATTGTTATATTTAAATAAGTTATGCAAATTCAAATTATAAACAGAATAATTTCTTATAAAAAAAAATTCATGAAAAAAAATAAAATTCTTTACTTCCAAAAAGAGAGGGTGAAAAAAAGAAAAGAAAAAAGAAAGGTTAAAAGGGTAAAGTATGTCAGGGACTTTCTGTGGTTTGTCGGAGTGGTTGCCCACAAAAAGATTCACACAATTTATAAAAACTGAAAAAAGACAAACTTCAAAGAACTTACTTTTTTTACAATTTTTTTTGAAGAATAAAGCAAATACAGTTCCATATTCTCTTTTGCATGTTATTACAATATCTCATTCTCAGTTTAATATTCCCCTTTTTTTTCTTTATTATTATTATTATTTTTTGCTACACCACTCAGAGTAACATTACAATCAGTTTAACTGGATGCATATTAGTTTATCAGTTTATATAGAAACAAACAGAACACATAACTTAAAAAACCTCAGAGAAGCTTCTCTTCATCAAAACAACTTTTTTTTCCCCTTCCACTGTTAAATTCTGATTCTTCAATCTCAGCTTCTGTTTCTCTTTCTCTTTCTTTTCCATTTTTGAGAATAAGTAATACTGTAGCATTTGTGTGAGCTGAAGTTTGATGTCTGTGCCATTAGAGCAAGGCTATGTAGGCTTAGCAGAAGTTCCTGCAATGGAAGGCTCTTCTGAAAAGTTTTCTCAGAAGACAAACTGTGGCTTAAACCTCAAGGCTACTGAACTGAGGCTTGGCTTGCCTGGTTCTGAGTCACCAGAGAGGGATAGTGATGGTGGTAGTGTGGTTGTTGAGGACAAGAGTGTGTACCCTTTAGGCATGCTCAAGAGTTTGGTGTCTGGGGCTAAGAGGGGTTTCTCAGATACCATTGATGGTGGTTCTGAGAAGTGGCTTCTCTCTGGGAATGGTGGATCTGAGGTGGGTGTGGGTAAAGATTGTGGCTTGTTCTCTCCAAGGGGTGTTGGTGTTGGTGCTGGAAAGACTCTTGCTGGGGCTGAGTGTAGCAACCAGCAACAAGCTTCTGTTATGAAAGATAAAATTCCTCAGTCTCCAAAGCCATTGAATGAGAAGAAACCGCAGATATCTGCTCCTGCTGCAAAGTATTTTCGTCTTCCTTTAGCTTCCTCATTCTTCTCTTCTTTTCTTTTTTGCTGTTAGAAAAAAAGAAAATTTATGGTCTTAATTTTTTCTAATGAATTTTTTGTCTGCTATATTATGTTTTACTTGTCAAAACATTTGTCCAATTTTGTTGTTGATTTCCTGTCCTTGTTTACAGTTTTCTCACTTCTGTGTGCATATGTTAACAAAGTGTTGGAAGCAAGAAGAAAATGGGATAATTCAGAGAAAGGGGAAGGGAATTTTTTATTTTTGTTATTTTTCTAAAAAAAAATCTACTTGGTTGAAATTTAAACTCAAAGGAAGGGAGAAGAAAATCATCAAGGGAATTTAAACTTTGAGCTATCTAGCTCTTCTTGTTGGTACTTATATTCCCATGTTAGCCTCTAGTATTTTAGAAGCTGTTTGTTAACTCTATTTTGTGTGACTTATAAGAGTATATTCCTTCTATGTTAATCATCATCCAACGGTTGATTTGGTGGTTTTGTAAATTGTCTTCTTCATCTTAGTGGTCTATTACTTGATGTTGTGTATGATTTTGGATTGAACTGCCCGTAGTATTGATTGTCCTATCTTAAAAATTCAATTTCCAAAGGAAAAGTTCTTGTTTTTTTACTCTCTACCTGTTGCTGTGTTCTTATCTTAGGATCTATCTCCCTTAGACACCAGGATAAGAATCTGTATTAGTTAAATTCCTGTTGCTTAGAAGTCATAATCACTGACCTCTACACAGAAAGTTATCTCAATTGGGGTTCCTTGCACACTCCATGATATGTAGTGTAATTTTGTATTCTTTTGGTGAATCAGGGAACAGGTAGTGGGATGGCCACCAATTCGTTCTTTCAGGAAGAACTCAATGGCCACTCAGCCTCAAAAGAATGATGATGATGCAGAAGCCAAGTCTGGATGCCTTTATGTAAAAGTCAGCATGGATGGTGCTCCATACTTGAGGAAAGTTGATCTCAAAATCTTTGGCACTTATAGGGAACTATCTTCATCACTGGAAAACATGTTTAGTTGTTTTACAATCAGTGAGTTTTTTTTTTTTTTTTTTTACTTGCAAACATCTTCTTACCCTTTCACTAGCTTGTGCATAGCTTTGAATATCCCTTGGTGATTCCAATTACTCTCTTCATTTGATTTTGATGAGAGAAACATAAACAATTTATTTTCATCAGAAGTAGCTACTGGGAATTCAAGCGTGAATGGTTAAATCTCGCATCGGGTGAGAATGGACGAAGTATGGAAAATATAAATGAAAAGACTTATAAATATGTCGTTTTAAGGTTTTGGGTTAAGACGAGACGTTAAACTCATTTAATGTCACATATTGTGATGATGTGTTTTTTTGTCCATGACAAGTGCAGGTCAATGTGGCTCTCATGGAGTTTCTAGTCGAGATAAGTTGAGTGAAAGTAGATTGATGGATCTTCTTCATGGTTCAGAATATGTGCTCACCTATGAAGATAAGGACGGTGATTGGATGCTAGTTGGTGATGTTCCATGGGAGTAAGTACATATTATGTCTCATGCTTTGTGCATTTTCTGATTTGATTTCTACTAAATGTCTATTTTGGTATTTAGTAATTAAAAAGTATAACTCTGCTAAGAATTAGTTAAAGATATTATTTTATTTTATTATGTGAAAAATTTCAGAATCAAAAGAGATCAAATTGATGAGTATTTAATTCTTAAATGATCTTATTGTTCTTGTTTAAGGATGTTCATTGACTCTTGCAAGAGGTTGAGGATAATGAAGAGTTCTGAAGCAATAGGACTAGGTAATAATCTCTGATTTTTTAATTTTTAATTTTTTTTATATCTAATCGTTGCATTGAAAAACTCATCAATCATCATATAGCCAAATCTTTTTTTTTTTTTTTGTTAATTTATTGTTAGAAATGTTGAACTATATATTTATCTTCCAATAAATATGAATACACTTTCTGCACACCATTGTATTTTTCATCTTACATTATTTTCTTGAAATAATGGAAATATTGTTCACATTATAGCTTCTTTTTAACTCTTTATTGGTATCCTTGTCTATGTCTGATTCATGCAGCACCGAGAGCCATGGAAAAGTGCAAAAGTCGAAACTAGCAAAATGCTAGTGATACTAGAAGGTTGAGTATTATGTTTAATTGTTTAAAGCACATCATAACAGAGGCTAGAGGCAGGGACAGGGACAGGGACAGGGTACAGTCTGGGGCTTCTATTCCTTGCTTATGTATAATCCTACTTATGGGATCCCAGTGTCCTAAAGGTTTTAGTAGAAAAGACATGTTTGTTGTAAACATTTAAGGTTTCTTAGGTTTGTATCCCCTCAGTTCTCTTCAATCACTGTCATTGTGGACTTCATAAGGCTAAAAGCTATTTAGTATGTAAATTTGTATTTCTTTGGTAACTTTTTTGCTCTCTCTAAAAGTTATTGTTAGTGAGCATTTTGATTTTCATCACACGAAAATGAAGTTAACACCGTACCTTTGCTTTGTTTTTTAAGTGATTTTTTTTTTTTTTTCCTGTTACACCTTCTTTAGGTTTTTAAGAGTATCACACAGCTAGTTTGGTGGATGTTACAAAAATATTTTTTTTAAAAGCTTAGTCCTTCACATATCAGTTTTTACAATTTGCTTTGGCTTATCAAATTTTTCTCTCAATTTAGGGCCTATTGAATGCATTGAAATATGTGTTTTTTTTAAGTAAGTTACTTTTAAATTGAAATTTTTATATAATTATCAAATAACTTGTAGCTTTATTTTTAAAGTTCTTCGTTTTTTTTTTTTTAGTTTTAGCTTAAAAAAAATATCAAATAGTGCAGCAGAATTCAACATGAAAACAATACAGATACAATTAACTTTTGAAAGCAGAGTAATGGTTAAAGATAGGCATAACAGTCTACCCAAAAAAAATAAAAAAAGAAGATAGGCAAAACGATTAATGTGAATCATTAAAAAAAAGATTTTATTAGTCTCATTTAACATAAGATAGTTATTTTATGTTGTAGAGAGAAAATAGGTAGGTTCACCGTTACAAGAAAAGAAAAGAAAAAGGTGGGATACGAAAATCAAAGTAAGAGAAAATGAGATATGATATCTCATATAAAAGGTGAGTAATATTTTCCTTAAAAAAATTATTGTAATAATGCACTTCCGAAACTTATTATTAAAGTACGCGTCGGTGAAGATTGAGCGCGTTTGGCTGCATGCCAGCCCCGTTTCGGGTGATTCCCGTGGTTGTAGTTTCGTCTCTTTGTGCTGGTGTTGACCCTAGAGTTTCGTGCTGAGATGTGTTTGGGTTACGCCGTAGTGTACATGACAGCTAGGGTTCCAAAAAGTTGACTTAGGGTTTCTTGCCAAAATTTGGTATTTTGGGCCAATGATTACCATAAAAGGGTTTGAAAAAGAACCTATGTACCAAAAAGAAGGAGCAGATGGGCTGGAAAAGTTTTCTTTTGTTTGTTTTGTAATTTTATTTTATTTCTTTCTCTGGGGAACCATGGATTAACGTCTAATTTATAATTGTTTTATTTTTATGAACGAATGAATTATATGATTGATAATATGCTTGATGTGATAACATGCCATATAGAATATGTGGTATCATATTATTGCATATCTTGCTAATTACACGAGCATGATGACTATTATGTTTGAATGACTAGATTAATTGTCTTTATGACAATTAATTCAAATTTCAAAATTTAAATGTAGTGGTTGTTAGATTTGATAGGCTAGATTAATGGTCATTATAACATTAATTCTAATTTTTGAAATATATGCATAACAAATTTAATGATTAATGGCCGTTATGACGATTATTTTGATTTCAAATTATCCTCATAAATGACAATTATTATGATTCATAAAATCTAGATTCATAATTAAGTCAATTATTTATTATAATTTAAATCTAGATAAATAACTGGGAAAATTTTCTATGAGAATTGTTTATTTTACGAGTAATTTGTGGGTATTGTAAAATGGTCATCTGTTAACACATATGTTGCATACCACAATTATTATCATGATTGTGTAAAGCACACATTGCCTATCATGACCAAATTTTAAGAACTTAATGATTTAATTAATTTATTTTTTTTAGAAATATTCCAATCAGTTCATTGCTTCACAACTAATCCGATTCGGGGTGGGTCCATGATTAAGGCTTTAAACCCCTCCCAAAAGTGGTACTGGATGATTTTAAAATTTTGATAAGTCAAGTGATGCACGTTCATCGGGGCACATATGTTTAATCATGTGAAGTTAATTAGAACCTCAATGAAATCACACAAAGGATACACTTAATTGAACAATTCTAGGAAATTAAAAAATTTCTTATGTTGAATGGGTGGAAATTTAAATTAAGAAATTAATTTAACCTCCAAGCGCATTGTGGGCTTATCAATAAAATAATCATGTGAAGCCCCACTGGATAAGCATGATTGGATTTGATTAGACTTTAATAATTTTAAATTTTAATAAAGTATTATACGGCCTATCGCTTGGCAATAATAAGTTATTAAAGACAATTTTGAAATTAAGCAATGAATTTTACATTCGACAAAGCTTATAAAAGTTCTTAATAAAAATATTGAATGAACGAAAGTTTTAAATTAAGTATTTAATTTTAAAACTTGTGGGCTCCATTCGTGGTTTTATAAGTGAAATGATCATGACTGAAGCCCCATCGGATAAGCATAGTCGGATTTCACTAGATTAAACCTTAATAATTTCAAAAAAAATTAGTAATGTATTGTACGGCCCATCGTCGACAATGCTTGGATACTAAGGATAATTTTTGAAACTAAACAATGGTTAATTACATTCAACTTTGGTAAAGTTGTTAACCCTCCCATCGAGGCTCTGGCGACGGCATCGAATGACCAAATAACAATTTTGGTTTTTACAAGTGACTTGCTCATCGTAAGCATTTTAAATGAAGGATTGTTAACAATAAATAAAAGTAGTTATGAGAATCTACTTGCACTTAATTTGTTTATTGCATTATTTGTTTGTAATTATGTTCATTGTATATTTTTTTTAGAAATGTCTTCCTGTAATCCTTTAGAAATGATTTTTGAGTCAAAAAATCTCTAGGTGGTACCAACTATGAACCGTGGAAGAACAATATCAAGGATTTGTTAACAATAATATGTGGATCATCAAGAAATTAAAGATCCACCACTTGACCCATAACTTAGATCTACCTGTAGATACACAAGGTCTAGTGCGGTACATTCGTATTGGGAGAGAACTTTGTTAACCCGATATTTATTGACTCACTCACAATGATTCTTTGTGTTACGACATCCCACATTGCTTCTAAATACATTACTGTGTTTTATTTCAAATTAGATGGCATCTCTTGACCCGATACGTTGACGGTCGGGACTGAGGGGACATTCCTCTTATGGTTCAGGGGTCGTGGTTCCACAAATTGTTTTGGTAGATTGTCTGTCTTTAGCAGAGGACAAGACAATCCATCATCATCTTCGCAAGAGGCAACTTTGTTGCCTATTGAACAATAGTTACCTTCGATACAATGTACCCTAAAGACTAACATAGCTTCTCCTCAAGAAGTTAATTAGGTTTGTGATCTTACTAAGTATAAATCATTTCACTTGATACATTATCTAATTTTATTTGTTTGTAATTCATTGTTTGGGTTATATATTGTGCAAGTTACCATTTATTTTAACTGCATGTTTAGCAGTTATCCCCCGGCCAGCAGGATAACGTAGCTTCTCCTGAAGAAGCCAATGAGGTTTGTCAGCTTACTAAGTATAAATCATTTCACTTGATAGGTTATTTAATTTTATTTGTTTGCAATTCAATGTTTGGGTTATATTATGCAATTTACCAAATATTCCATCAGGTCCAGTACCTGAAGGATTTATTCCAGACTGGGGGAAGAAGGATCCCGCAGATGGTTGAATCTGGGTTCATCCGACTGCGGATGGAGGGATGTAGGTTTTCTTCTTATTGACACATTGTATATATTATTGATATCGTTAAAAATATTGTGGTATGTTTTATGTTTTAATCGAATAATGACATAATTCCATATGTATCATAATGTATTTTAGGTTTGATTCCAACACCGTCATTCGCAATATAACTGAAATCATAACTAGCAATTATAATGGCACATGGCCAACTTATAGGAGTGTGCCCCCCTGTTAAAAAATATTGGTATAAGGAATTCATGGAAAATTGACCCTAAATTATATTATAGTATCTACTATTTATTGTTTTTATTTATTCGCATTTGACACGTTTCATATTTAAGGTACTAAAATTTTATCCACTTTTGACATTGCAGAAGAAATATAAATGCTTTTCTGACGATAAAAGAAGATATGAACAAACATTTAGGACAAAGACAATTGATCTCATTAAGAATCACATGAATTGCCTAAGACAAGGAAAAGGGAATGAATCATGGATTCCACAAGAACAACTCGACCAATTGCAGGAATATTGGAATAACAATGAAGATTGAAAAAAAATGTCTGAAATCAACAAGAAAAAAAGTCTGCAAACAGTGGACCTTCACATGCTGGAGGATCAATATCATACGCTGAGTATAAAAGGTGGATTATAAGTACATTTGTGTCATGTTATTCTATGTTTACTATTATTAATTATTGTTTTAATTGTTAGAGTAAACTGACACAAATATTGCTTTTTGTACTGTTTGATATAGTAAGTGACTCGAGAGACACCACCAGGTGAGGAAAATTGGGAGTTATACAAGCGTACTCACCAATTCACCCAAGAACCCCAAAATTGGATAAATAATAAGGCAATGCGAACAACTATGAGTACAATTGAAATCTTCAAAATATATATGTTTTTGTATAAAATTATTATTTTTACTTACACTATTATATGACACTATGCGATGGCCAATGGTTTTTTTGTCAATGAGAATGCCTCAGTAAATAAAAACTAGTTGTTATGAACCCAAAAAAATTAAGTTGCAATTTGACATTGGAAGTTTGGAATTATATCTTGTTAGTTTACAAATAGATGGTAGGACTGAAACGATGTGGTCTCTGCTTGTTAGAAAATAGAAACTGGCTGTATATAGGAATTCTCGCTTAAAATATAGAATGGATGTATTTCAAAAGAAAATGGAGGTCATGGATTAACATTGATATTTGAAATTAAGTTAATAGTTTTAATTGATTGGTGATCCACGACTTATACTATTTTGTATATCTTAGAGGCTTACCTTCTTGCTATGTTGCTTATACTATGAATGGTTGGAGCATATTATAATGGAGGATTTGGTAGAATTAATCTTTGGTCCTATTTTTGTCTACTATTATTGTTTATCTCTTTTGGATGAGTTAGAATCAATTAAAGATAAAAAGGTTCATTTATTTGTATTTTAAGACAGTTTTAGACTCAGAT